TTCATCAAATCTTCATCACCATCAACCTATTACCATTTCATTCACAATCATCACCATCATCATTATTCACCCAATCATCATCATTTCTCAATCATCATCGTCATTATCATCTCATTATCACTCATCATCATACCATCACTAATCATAAACCTATCTATCACAATTATCACCATCTGATCATTTATCACGAATCATCACTTTCCATCCATCATCGTCTATTATTCCTAATCATCATCACCATCAACAATCATAACCATCCCACAATATCATATTATCACAATCATCATTTCCATCATCATCGTAACATTATTCCTTATCATCATCCACCATCACCCATCATAACTATCAATCTTCACATCACAATCATAAACTATTCATCATCACCATTCACAAATCATTGACAATCACTTCACATCACAATCACAACCATCATCACAATATCACCATCAATCCTACACCTCTTACTCCCCCCCCACCAACAACCCAATCATCTCACAACTTCTTTCTTCTCATAACTGTTCTCTATTTCCAGGTTATGGAGCAGCGTCGCCGAAAACAACGGAAGGCAAAATGTTCTCTATTTTCTACGGTCTCATTGGCTGTTCTTCAGGGATCCTGTTCTTCAACCTGTTCCTCGAGAGAATCATAACACTGCTGGCATTTATTATGAGGTGAACATCATTTGTTTGGTTGTTTGTTGTTGTTATTTTTGTTGTTTTTTTGTTTATGTCTTAACTACTAGGCTTTTTAGAACTGTTGTTGTGATGATTATTGTTATTGTTATTGAAAAGTGTTGTTATTATGATCATTGTAATTCCTGTTATCACTGTTTTGTTATTATGGTTATCATTATTATCATTATTAGTATCATTATCGTTATTATAATTATCATCACTGTCTATGTGTTACTCCGTCTTTCTGTCTTTCTGTAATCCTTCTGTCTGTGTCTGTCTCTCTCTTCTCTCTCTCTCTCTCTCTCCTCCTCTCTCTCTCTCTCTCTCTCTCTCTCTTCTCTCTTCTCTCTCTCTCTCTCTCTCTCTTTTCTCTCTCTCTCTCTCTCTCTTCCCTCTTTCGCTCCTTTCTCCTCTTGTATATCTTTCACGCACACGACTTCCTTACCTTCTTCTTCTCTTCCTCGCATTCCTTCTTTCTCTTGCCTCCTTCTTTTCTTCATGCTGTTATCCCTTCCTTCCTTCCACCTTCTTCCCTTCTTCTCTTCCTCCCTGGTACGTTTCCTCCTTTTCTCCTTCTCCTTTTCACCCCTACCTTTTTCGCTTCTTTCTCTCGTCCTCTGCATCCTTTTTTCCTCTCCGTTTCTTCGCTTTATTTCTCCTCTTCTCCTTCTTCCTTTCCTCCTTTCCTCTTTCTTCTTTCTCACGTTTTCCCTTCTCCCCTTCTCTCATTCTTCCTTCTTCCTTTCCTTCCTCCTTTCTCCCTCCCCTTACTACTTCCTTCCTTCTTCCTTTTCCTTTCCTCCTTTCCTCCCCTCTTACTGCTTCCTTTCCTTCCTCTCTTTCTCCCTTCCTCTTTATTTTTCTTCCTTTTTCCTTCCTACTCTTCCCCACTTCCTCTTTTCGCCTCTTCCCCTCTCCCTCCCATCCCTTCACCTCTTCTTCCCCACTTTCTTCCTCTCTTCCTCCCTACTCCCCCCTTTCCTTCTTCATTCCATCCTTCCTCACTTCCCCTCTTCTTCCTTTCTCCACTCCTCGCTTCCTTCCCCTTTTTCTCCATCCTCCTCCTTCCTCCCCTCTTCCTCCCTCCCTTCTTTCCTTCCTCCCTTCCTCCCTCCTTATTCCCTTCCTTCCCCCTCACCTGATCCCTTCTCCTCCCTCCCTTCTTTCCTTCCCCTCTTCCTTCTTCCCCCTCTCCCTCCCCTATTCCTCCCTCCTCTTCCTTCCTCCCCTTTCCTTCCCCAATACCCCCCCTTTTCCCTTCCTCCCTCCTTCCTCCTCCCTCCTCTCCCTCCCCCTCTTCTTCTCTCCCTTCTTTCCTTCCTTCCTTCCTCCTCTCCCTCTTCCTCTTCCAGCGTAAACACGAGAGGAAGAGAGAGGGGAAAGAGAAGAGGAGAGAGTAAAACCAAGATTTGGGCTCACAATGGACGCAAAAGCCTAAAGGTGGTTGCCCAGCTGATCCATGTGGGAGAGGGGGGGGGGTGAAGGAAGGTGGGGAGACTTGTGAATATCAAAGGGTATTTCTCTCTCTCTCTTCTCTCTCTCTTTCTTCTTTCTTCGCCTCTCCTACTCTCTCCTCTTCTCCTCTCTCTCTCTCTCTCTCTCTCCTCTCTCTCTCCTCTCTCTCTTTCTCTCTCTCTTCTTTCTTCTTTCTCTCTCTCTCTCTCTCTTCTCTCTCTCTCTCCTCTCTCTCTCTTTCTCTCTCTCTCTCTCTCTCTCTCTCTCTCTCCTCTCTCTCTCTCTCTCTCTCTCTCTCTCTCTTCTCTCTCTCTCTCTCTCTCTCTCTCTCTCTCTCTCTCTCTCTCTCTCTCTCTCTCTCTCTCTCTCTCTCTCTCTCTCTCTCTCTCTCTCTCTTCTCTCTTTCTCTCTCTCTCTCTCTCTCTCTCTCTCTCTCTCTCTCTCTCTCTCTCTCTCTCTCTCTCTCTCTCTCTCTCTCTCTCTCTCTCTCTCTCTCTCTCTCTCTCTCTCTCTCTCTCTCTCTCTCTCTCTCTCTTCGCTCTTCTTTTCTTTTGCTCTCCTTTTTTTCCATATTTTCTTATTCTCTTTGTGTGTTGCTTTCTTTCTTTCTTTTGCCAATTCATATTCACAGTTATCATCATTATCATCATCACTGTCATAGTCATAAACGGTATCACTATAATTAATGTCATTATCCATATTAATATTGTTTTATTTTCATCTTGGTTTATCATCTTTATTGTTCTTGTTGTTATAATTATTAGTATTGCCTTTATCCATTTTTTTGTTTTTATAAGTATTATCATTATTCTTTTCTATAATTATCATCCTCATAATAATTTTCATTATTGATATCATTGTCATTATTGTAATTATCCTTATAGTAATTATCATTATTATCATTATCATTATTGCTGTCATTATTATTATTATTGTCATTGATGTATCGTTAGAATAATTATAATGATGAATATCATAATCATTAATGTTATCATTATTACCATCGTTATTATTTTCATTATCATAATTTTTTATCATTATCATCATCATCATTATCTATTTTCCATGATCATAAGCATTATCATGTTTATTATCATTATCATTATTACAATCATTATCATCGATTTCATTGTTATGATTCTCATCATAATCATGGTTATTATCACTTTTATCATTACTCTTATTGTTGTTGTTATCATTATTCTAGTATTATTATCATTATCATCATTATTATCATTATCATTATAACTGATATTAGTATTATCACTATCTTTATTATTATTATTAAAGCCATCATCATTCTTGTTGTTACTTATTATATCATCATCATTATCATTATCACCAATATACAGTAATGATTATATTGATGATTATTAGTGAATTTTTAAAACTAGCGTATTTATCTTCACATTTTCTTAATCTCTCACTTTCTTTCCCCCTCTCCTCTTCCCCAAACCAACCCTTCCTCCCTCACTCACCCCGCCCAACCCACCTACCCACTCACGCCGCCCTTCCACGCACTCACGCCCCCACTCACCCCGCCCACCTTACCCCGCCCACTCACCCCACCCCACCTGCCCACTCACCCCCCACTTCACCCACTCACCCCACGCTTCACGCACTCACCCCCCCCACTTACCACGCCCACTCACCCCACCCCACCAGAGCCCGCCACGAGAGGAAACAGCGGCAGCGTGCGGCGGCGGCAGCGGCGGCGGCGCGGCAGCAGCGGGTTCCGACGGCACGACAGAGAACAGCCAAGTGGACGCCGCGGCTCACAGGACTCCATGGAGGACTCGAGCCTGGACGCGTGGAAGCCGTCGGTGTACTGGGTCATGTTTTACCTCACCATCGCCAGCGTGATCGTCGCCTTCCTGGGGCGGTGATGTTCATGGAGGTAAGGAGGGGGGGGGGAGGGGAAGGAGGGGGAGGGGGTTGGAGGGAGAGGAGGTGGGAGGGAGAGGGATGGAGGGGGAGAGGGTGGAGGAGGGAGGGGCAGGAGGAGGAGGTGGGAGGAGGAGAGGGGGATGGGAGGGAGGGGGGGGAAGGAGAGTGGGGTAGGGAGGGAGAGTGAGGGTAGGAAAGAGGAGGGAGGGAAGAGGGAGGAGTGGAGGAAGGAGGAGGGGAGGAGGAGGAAGGATAATGGAGGGAGGAGGAAGAAAGGAAGGGAGAGGGAAAATGAAGGAGAATTATCGTATCAAATGTCATTATCTGCAATTTAAGATCATAAAAGTTTATACATACAACGGTGCACAATAGCTTTTCCTTTGCCATCACCATGCCTAAAAACAACGAGAAAAAAAGATAATAATGATAAAATAAAATAAAATAAACGATATAACTCTAGCGTAGTTTACCCTCAAATTTTCTCTCGTGTCTGTCGCCCAATCCCGTTTTCTTTGTTTACAAGTCCATGTCGGACAGGGAAAAAAGATACAAAAAAAAATAAAGATTATGCAGCCTTATGGAAGGAAAACGAGGAAGAGAATTAGGGCATAAAATGAGTGCCAAAGCGAGAGTGACTTTTTTTTTCTCTCATTTTTCCCTCCATAGAAGTTTCCAGAAGCTGAAATTGGGGTCGAGAAAATCATGCATAAATTTTGCAGCCATAAGTAGAGGTTTAAACGCAGAATGGATATTTTTTCAGGACGAAAATAATAATGGAAAGATGATGTTTAAGACACAATATTCTATTCATTTTTCATATATATAATCGACCATAATATAAATGCGATCACGTGGTTTATCAACGATCATGTAAAAAAAAAAAAAAAAAAAAAAAAAAAAATTACCTTAGTTTTATTTATTATTATTTTTACGAGAAACATCCCATGGAAATGATTGAAAAGATCATATCTATTAATTCATTTA